TAAAACATAATTGAAAATATACTTTTATGCTTAAATAATCCATAGAATCACGATATATATAAAAGCCTCAAATCAATTTACATAAGAACCTTAAAAATCATGTCTTTTATAAAATTGAAACCCCAACTTACAATTTGTGAAAATATGAAAATAAACCAAACTAATAAATTTGAAATTAATAACTTTAACCATAAAACATTAATATAAACTTGCTTAATCATACTTTAGGATAATTAAAATAAATATGGACTAATATAAGTATATTTAGATAAATAATGGATTAAAGAGGAGAGAGGTAAAACAAAGCCTTGTGGGAAGCATGGTTGGCCACGGACGGCGGTGGTTCGACTGGTGCAGTTGGCCGGAAGGTGGGGCGCCGGAGTTTGATAGTTGGGGATGTGTGAAGACATGGCAGCAATCCATGGAAACCCACGCACATTCATCTCACGAAAGAGGAAAGGAGGAATAAAAAAAGGGGGGGGGGGAAACAAAAAAAAGAAAAGAAAGGAGTAGTACTCCTACGTGAATCCCTACTTTTTCAAAAGTATCACTCAACTCTTATGATTAGTGTTGAGACTAATATATCCCTTAAAAAGTGAATTTACGTACATATTTATCCTTATATTTTTGCTTTTACATTTTTAATAAGCATGATGTAATAGTTAAGGAAGTCCAAAAGACTTGGTTTAATTGCTTGATAAAATTAGCATTTAAATTACCTTTGTTAATTTGTTTGATTTTTTTTTTCTTAAATATAATTATAATGCTTGATTATGTAGGCTAGGGTGGCCAACCCTTTTGTATACCAAGAGGTAATTTAGACGTTTGAATATGCTACATATGCACCTTTAAATTGTTAGAATTTCTTGCAGAAAGTTTTTGTACATCCTTCTATTTGATTCACATGATTGTATTCTATAATTAAATTTTTAACCATAACTATTTTTTGTTATAGACTAAAGCCAATTAATTTGTATAGTTAGATCTCTCAGCCAACCTTGACCGCATGATAAATTGAATAATATTACTAAAAGTAATTATACAAATTTTGTTTTGTATATTAGTAAAAGTAAGAGAGAATGATCTAGTATAGAGAGAATGGTGTCACAGTGAATTTTTTTTTTTTTTTTTTTTTTTTTTTTATCATTGGTGGGATAAAAGTATGATTATCAAAATGCTAATGAGCAAGAGAAGTGAGTAGAGAGAGAATAAAAAGGGTTTTTTTTTTTTCTTTTTTTTTTTTTTAATCATTGTTGACAATGTTCTTTAGTATGTGTTTAAAAGCATACCTAATAAGCTTCCAGTATTAGGGCAAGCTTTTACAATACAACCATAACAACTAAACATTTGCGCGCAATGCACGCGTAGGCTCCCCTAGTTCAAAGAAAAGGAGGAAAGAAACAAAAGAAAGGAAAAAGAATAGAGAAAAGAAATAAATTTACCTCTTTGATTTTTGTGTGACAAATTTTTGGGATAAATGGAGTATTTATAGTGTACAGTAGATTAGGGTAGGGTTTGGGCTTTATAAAGTTTATTGACTTGAATAATAAAATAGTTGGCCCAAATAGAAAAACAGGATTATTGGGTTTATTATGAAGATGAGCTACATTTAGATAAAATATTTATTGATCCGAAAGTTAAAACTTGTTTTATTTATATCCAATAATTAAAATAATTTGACCTAAAATATACATGATAAATAATTAAATAATTTATAAAATACATTAAAAAATACGAGGTATTACATATTTAGTGATAAGCAAACACAAATAAAATAATCTAATTCAACCACTTTTAAAATAACCAAATATTCACTTTTAAAAATACGAGGTATTACATATTTAGTGATATGCAGTAAAAGAAGCGATTTTTCCCGCTACCTGTTTTCCCCAATACCGCTATAGTTCACGGGAATCGAAATATCTGCAAGATCTAGTACTTCAATGTAACACCCTAGAAATTCTTTTTCTTTAAATTACATGTTTTGTCCTTTTTAAAATATGAATCAGGAAATTCTAAGATATTACTGCCACCGTGATAACGGCTGAGGCAATTATCAAAGACACACAACGGAAGACTCGTTTAAAAAATCATTCAAAGTAAAACTATTTTCAAAAGTCAAACCAAACGAAAGTAAATTCAATCCAAAGTCAAACAAAGTCAACCTATAATTTGGAACTATTGTAGGCCCTTTCAAAATTATCCAAATTAAATAATTAAAATCATTGCGTTAGTCCCACAAGCAAATAAATAATATTCAAAGCAAATAAACACATCATATCCTCATAAAAACTAAACAAGATTCGCTCTTCACTCATTCCCAACATGAATATGCCGCATCACTTGAAAAGCTTCTCTTTACTTTGTCCCCACTACTCGCCATTAGAAATGGGTCGTCATAGGGCCAAGATAAAGACAAGGCCAAACAAACATATAAACACACAATCAGCAATGCTGAATACATAAGTGTAAACGAAACACACTAACATGCTTACAACCTAGCATCACACAACATACCTTCTTACACCTGTTTTCAATCATACAACATACAACACTTTAATTTCTTATTTATTTGATTACGCATCGAACGAGTTTCCCCCCAACCTGCTCTAATAAAGGGGTACTAACACGGCTAATCGTGCCAGTATAAAAAGAACCACTCGTAAGTGGCGTCCTGCGCATAATAAAAAGGAAAATACAGCGTCCTGTACTCCCAATAGAAGTTATGATTAAATATAAAACCCCATAACTCCTCCCATATGTTCATACTCTAGGTGTATACGTTCCAAGAGTTTTGATGTGTAATCTCTTTCACTTTACGTTATTTACAGATTTTTAAACTAAGTGATGACTCTAAATCCATAGAACAATCCATCAACACAATTCATTCAATCAACCAAACATTCTAATTTAATTCTTGAATAATTAGTGAGCACAAATAATTTATTGTTAAACCCTTTTTAAACTAGCTCGGTGTAGAAACACCTTAAGCGCATAATGCACCGAAATCCTATCCCTCGGTGTTTGAAACACCTTAAGTGCACTTAGGCACCAAAATATAATTTAATCCTCGTGTTCATAGACACTTAAATAGCTCAATCCCCATGCTTATAACATCAATAAAAATTATATGAACCATAATAAAATCCCCTTTTTATATTCTAGCTAAACCAATTTGAACCTTTAGTTTAATCAAATATGTCTTCAATCATGCCAATAATAAAAGTATTGTCCATATACAACATGCCAACATAATTAATTTCAATCAATAATTCATTCCAAACAATCATGCTTCATAAATCAATCATCAAATCCAATTCAATTCCATAAAACCAATTCAATCCAACAATTCCAACCAATTACTAACTTGGAACTAATTAAAATAAACCCTAGCATGCTTCTACACGCTATATAAAATTTCGAGTACGCATACATACCTCGAATATGATCTCAAAATCGCCTCGACTACACGAAATCACTCACTTGTAAGTCTCCTACAATCCAGAAACCTCAAAAGACATTAATACCTATTCTTATTGAATTTCAAGCAATATAAACACACTTTAAAACACTTTTAAACCTTCTAAATCTGCTGAAAATTATTTAGAACAACTTAGTTTTATTCCCAATTAATGGGTAATTAAAATCCTATCAAGAAAACCTTGATTTAGTCTATGTATAAAAATTCCAGCAATATAAAAACCTTAAAATTGCTATAATTTGGTTTTTTTAAAAAAATCAATTTCAATATTACAAACCAACCACAATTAATTCCTTTCAATAAACATTAATTTAGAAACCTAGGGTTTAATCAATTTGGGGCTTTTTCATATAAAATCAAATTTGAAAGCATCATTAAAAACATCATAATTCCTTCATATAATACCCAAAATCATCAAAGCTTAATTAAGAGACCAAAGCAAGAACAAATTTTTTTTAAACACCCAATCGCACGCACAAAAGGGGTGGCTGCAGCCGCCCCCTCCTACTGGTGATTGTTGGTGGTGGTGGCCGGTGGGAAGTGGTGGTGGTGGGCAGCCACCGCGTGGTGTGTGTGTGGGTGGTGCGTGTGAAGTGAGGGAGAGGAGGAAATTAAGGGGAAAAAAATAAGAGGAGAGAGAGAGTTTACCTTTGGTATTCTCCGGCCACCTTGGGCAAAATCTAATTTTGCTCTTAGGTGAGTATTTATACTCCCTCTCAAAAACCCTCCTACCTTAACTTTCCCTATTTACCTTTAATGATTCCTACTCCTACTCAAAGTAGTCATTTGACTTTATTTAAAGTTCCCTTGAATTTAAAATTCTTTTATAATTTAAATATGCTCCAAAGTTTGTAAATATAAAAATAAAATATTTTCAAAACCATATAAATAAATAATAAATGGATTTTTTTTTATTTAAATACACCTTTTAAAATATTAAAATACCATAAATAATTCATTTCAAATTATTTAAATACGTTCATAAAACAATACTTTAATTTATAAACCGTATAAAAATACGGGGTATAACATTCAAGTAGCGATTTCCCCCAAAACCGCTATATTTTGGTCCATGATATACGAAACTTGTTTACCATGGAAATTAAATGGGGTGGCCTCTTAAAAAATCGACTTTTGTGTTTCTTGAAGGTGGAATAATTTAAAAAAAAAAATTCCTATGAAAATTGAATTGATGAAACTCCGCAATAACTCGATCTCTACAAGTTCATACTCAAATAAAGATTTATGGTTTGATTTAAATATAAATTTAATTTTTTACAATCATCCTAACAATGATCATATTTGAATTTGACCACGAAGGACTCTATTTGAAATTTACAACTCATTAATTATCCGATCAAAATCTTCGCGATAAAAATAGCCCGCTACAAAATTTCAAGCTCGATCAAGCACAATACGGACCCAAATTTGGCTTACATTTTATCTAATCTATACCCGAAAAAATAAATAGTGTATTATAATTCAATATTTATTCAATTCGAGATCTTGACGACTCATATACTCAATCCGAGTAACCGAATTAGGGCAATTATTTAAGAACGGAGGGAGGATGAGTGATGATCAATCCGATTAGCTAAAAATGATCACTTTCTCCGGTCCTCTCTCACAGTCTCACTCTCTGTATCTTCCGTAGCTTCTCTATATTAATCAATCACGGGAAGCCGGGAACGAATTAGCAATCCACAATCTCTTCTTCCTAATCAATTTATATATAGGTAATCTCTTCTCCTTTACTTTAAACTTTTTTTGACTGGTTGTTCATCAATTTTACACAATGATTGAAATCGTTTGTATAATCTATGGGCAATTTTGAACCTTTAATGTCAATTTTCTGTTTCAATTTTGCGTTTCTTTATTTCTTCCAATTTAGAAGCTTTAATCAGAATAAATAATCCCAATTCAATTTGCAATCTAGGTTATTATGTCACTCCTTCCAGTAGATGTTATCATTGATATTCTGCTTAAATTGCCGGCAAAATCTTTGCTACGCTTTAAGAGTGTGTTTCATTGGATCTCATTTCAAGCAATCCAATATTCTGCATATAGTTTATTGGAACACTGTTTGTAAGTTGAGTGATTTCGACACATTTGATAATACCATTGAACTTGATTACCCTTTTAAGAATCTGGGTGATGTTCATGTCAAGGGATCATGCCGCGGCTTGCTTTGCTTCACCATGTACTCTTACCCCTTCACGGTTTTCTTGTTCAACCCCACTACACATACCCTTTAATTGTAAGATTTTGTGGGGAATAATGGGTAAAATTACTAACATACTCTTTAATAGCGGTTATATGGTAAAATGGTTTTACCTAAAACAGAAAAAAATCACTGTTTTTTCTTCTATTCATCAGTCATCATACAATGATACAAGTATGATATTGCTTCAGCCTCTCTCTGTTTTTTTGACAACCAGAAAAGTTGCCGGAATCTCTACATCCTAATCATTTTGCATTTTTGGTAATCTCTTTCTTATTTTAATTCATGATTTCCCACTTAATTTGGTTATTCTTTACTCCACTCAATTGATTGTATGATTTTTGGGCAATTTCAATTTACCCTAATTTTTAGCTTATTGGGTTATCTATCTTATTCAAATCATCAATAGATAAAAATACTTAATTCAATTTGCAACCTAGGTTATCATGTCATCCATTCCCGTGGATGTTATTACTGATATTCTGCTTAGATTGCTGGCAAAATCTTTGTTGCGCTTCAAATGTGTGTGCAAATTATGGTTTAATATAATTAATTCTTCTGATTTTATCAACCCTCATGTTGAACAATCCAATCTGCATATAATCGTCACGAACCCTGCTGTTTATATATGTGATTTCGACAAATTTGATAATCCCACTAAGTTGAATTACCCTTTGAAGAATCTAGAATATGGGGGTCTTTATATTGTGGGATCGAGCCGCGGTTTGCTTTGTTTCTCTATGCATTCGTATCCCTACACCACCTTCATGTATAACCCAACCACACAAACCCACAAATCCCTTCCATATTTGCCAGTATTATCCACCTTTCAGACCCCCAATGGAGATCCATTTCACGGCCTTCTTGGGTTTGGTTATGATCATGTGTCTGAGGATTACAAGTGTGTGAAGATTCATCAATGTGATGCGGATGATGGATCGGGTTCTTTCAAGAGTCAGGTGATGGTTTATAGCTTGAGGGAGGATTCTTGGAAGCGGGGGGTTCACGATGTTCCATATTATTTTGACAGCCATTTGGGTTATTCTATCTTGCTCAATGGGATTCTGCATTGGTCAACTGAAGATGATCATAGGGAGCCCCTCCCTTTAGTTGGCTTCAATCTCAATGATGAAACTTTTAGCTCCGTGCCATTGCCTGACTATCATACAGAAGAGGAATCGCGTATGCGTGCTCACATAGGAGTGGTTGATGCATGCTTGTGTCTTATGTACAATTATTGGTGTTATTGTGAAGTATGGATTATGAAGGAGTACGGTGTTCCTGCATCTTGGACTAAATTGTGTATGGTTGCGAAACAAGGGAATTATAATGATTTGAGGCCTCTTTCTTTCTCAAAGAGTAAAAAGGAATTGTTTGTGATTCTAACCAAAGCTAATGTTGCTTCTTTGGACTTGGAAACTTTGGAGATAAAAAATATTCAACCTCCTGGTCTTCATAGACTTTGGAAAGCATATGTATGCTCGGAGAATCTTCTTATGCTCAAAGATGCAGAATATATACGCAAGGGTACACAACAACTGCAAAACAGAAGCACTAAAATGCGGAAGTTATTAATGAGAAAAACTGAGAGGTATAGCTTCATTTTTTGGTCAACCCTTCACATTGTTAATTATGTTTGTTTTCCTCAGGAAATATTTGCTAAGTAATTATCTTTTACTGAATTGAAGATATTTTTGATGAGTTGAACTATTTTTGTCCAACCTTATGCACTTTTGCTCAACATTTCTATTGTTGAATTTAACACTAAATATTTTTATAAACTTAGACTTTGCTAAATTTGACTAAGTTTTTGCTTAGTAAGGAGGTGATAAAAAAAACTGAATCCGTGTTGCTTATGAAATTTTGGCTTTGACATATACTCATATAGTTTATCCGTTTTGGAATAATGGTAACACAGTACACTTGCATTTTCACAATCACTTTTGACCATTAATATCCTTAATTATGTACTCCGAATTAATAGAAATTTGATATTTTCAAAACATTCAGCAAGATGAAATAAACAAGAACCCACATTATACTCCGTATTATTTTGAAGTTTGTATGAGCGACAGTATTCAGCCAAAGATTCCAAACTTGTCTCTTAAAAAGTAAAGTGTAACCAATTTTCCAAAACAGAGGGAGTAGTTGTTAAAATTCTGATCTAAATTCCCAGATTTAACTATCCTTCAATCTAAGCTAATATCAATCTCAACTTGTAAGTAAAATTTTTATGTTCAATTTGTATAATTTTTTGTCCCACTTTGATAAAAACTTTGAAAGTCAGGATCTTGAGACAATTTTACAGCTTTAACTCACATTATTTAATCCTACAACACACAAGTAAATTTATAAATAAATCCTACGGTATTAAAGTTAATTAATGTTCAAATTATTATTATTATTATTATTATTATTATTATTATTATTTTTTTTTTTAACTAGTAGTCTAGTACCATGTACATGTAATGATGAACCATATTTTAACAAAAAAGGGAATTTTTTTTATAGTGACATTACTATTTTGTCAATGTTGTCCTCTCTCTCTCTCTCTCTCTCTCTCTCTCTCTCTCTCTCTCTCTTATTTAATCACAAATTCTATAATTTAATCAATCAACATTTATTTGGATTCACCATCTAAAATTGATCCTACATAGAATCTGTAATAGATTGGGATTATTGCTAACTTACTCTTGCAAAGACCTAGAAAATAGAGAGAAAAAGATTGATTCTTTGATTAAACTAGATAATTTGATTTTTTGCAAATTAAGTAAATAAGAAGAACTAACAAATAATGACAATAGCACAAAAGTTTACAAATGATAGGTTCAATAGCTTTAGGCTATTAGCTTGAGGCTATTACTCTCAAGCAATGGCTTTAGGCCATAACTCTCTAAGGTTTCCCCAATACAAATGTTTGCCTACTCTTTCCTATCCCCCTCTCTCTCTATTTATACTAAAACTAAAGACTATGCCCCTCTGTAGGTTAGTCTATTACAAAATCCCAATTAAACAACCTTGCATAGAAATTTGGATATCTAGAATTACAAAGCTAAAGTTTTAATTCTTAGTATTCATGAATATCAATTATGATTCTTATTTTATTGGAGTGTCACTAATCACTATCTTTTGTTCCTTGTATCTAGAATCATGCGATTCCTTGACGAAGGTCTACGAAATGATTTCGGGATTCCACGCCCATCCAATGAACAATCTTGATCATGTCACCATTGCATTCCTGTGGAGGTACAACCATATAACTTTGAAATAATGACTTGTCTCTTACCAAGTTTACAGCTTTAGAGGATGGATGTATATTTTATCCAACTTGTTTAATTTGGTTTTCATATCATGTATGACTGTGTTTGACTGTTTATTCAGAAATGAGAATCTCATGGTTGCTTTGTTTGTTTCATACCTATATTCATGGCTTGGTCTATTGTTGAGAATCAGGAAGATGCAACAATTAACTTATATTGCTTTTCTGCATCCTTACATTTCTTTTTTAACCCTTGCAACTACTATCACTGTTTTTGTGTAGTGTGATGGTGTGTTAAGTTTGTTAGCTTTATATTTTACATAAGGAAATAAAATTTGGGTTAGGCAAGGAGATAAATACTACTACGTACCTCATAATTTATACTTAATCTGCTCTTTTGATGGAGAATTAATTCAATGGGTGTGGAAAAGTATGTGCAAGGTGGGGGATAGAATTAAAGACGGGTTGTTGAAATCAGCGGGGCACGTGTGGGAAACCATATACTATTTTACCTGGGTTTGAAATAGATTTAATGTTCCAAAGAACACTTCTATTGCTTGATATGTGGCTCTTGACAAACTCAGAACTAAGGTGAAACTCCAGCAGGTGGGAGTTTATGAGGATAATCTATAAATGTTTTGTGGGCAACTGGAAGAAAGGACTTATCATTTATCTTTCAGATGTGACTATAGCTGTATTATTCACAAGCATGATGCTAAGTGGGTTGGAAACATGGAATTCAGGTTAATGGCCTTGATTGTGTGCCTATTATTTTGAATAAATGGAGTAGAAGATATAAAGCTGTAAAAGTCAATAAACATATTTTTCTAGCTGTCTTCACTGCTGCTGTGTATCATATATGGAGAGCAAGAAACCGGGATTTTTGGAGGCTGTTGAGTGAAGATGGAATTCAGGTTTATGGTCTTAGTCAGAAAAATGGTTGAGTGAAGATGTTGTATGGTTTATGACCTTTATGCTCTAAAGGTGAATGTTTGATTCTTTGTTGTTCAACTGAGGGCATAAGTTGAAGGAGCCTTCCTAGAAGGTTTTGTTTACATTCAGTTGAATTCGGCTTGAGTTGTATGATTTGGCTGTATATCTTGATTAATTAATGGAAAGCTCTTACTTGCTTACCAATAAAAATGTAGTTTTACAAAGATAAAAATAAATAGAAATTGACTTGATTACATTCTTACCATTACGTATCTGAAATTGGCAACATTATAGTGCATTTCTATTTGTAGAAACCAATCAACCATGGAATAATGACATAGAATGTGATGGATATTTATAGTGCTTAAGCTGACATTATTACTTGCTAGGATCTAACCCTCTTTAATGGTGACACCATCTCATGTAATCTCCTTTCTTTTCACTTGTCCTCGTTATGTAGCAATACTTGCATCACGGAACACTGTTGGTGTTTTTGTATTTCGATTGGATCATGTCAAGGCTTGTGGCTGTTGTTGGTGTTTCCACTTATAGTCTAGCATAGCTTCTACTCAAAAATAAATTTACAATCTAGCATAGGCGCGTAACTTCACTTTTTTCAAAAAAACTCTTGTGTGGATCCATGAGATGAACGCTTAAAGTACTTCTCATTCTTCTTTATTTTGCCTTTAGTTATCTCAGATGATCCACCTCCATTATTCGTTACCTATTTCTACTGAACCTAAGCTTGATTATGGACTAAGATTGAAATTTGATGATTAAAATTGATGATACTAATGAAAATCTATTTTGATTCTGCAATTTTTTTTCTCGTCTGCATTAGCTGAATTACTGATTAAAAGTGACTCTTCCTGATTAGAACCAATTTACTGATTTTATTAAAGATGAAGTATCATAGTCTTAGTTGTAGTGATACTTAAGAAACTAGATTCATTGGGATTGCAAGAAATTTTAATTTTTCTAATAAGAAAAGTTAAGCTTTACATTTTGCAAACAGACTAACCTGTTAAGGTATTTGATGATTATCTCACTCTTTTTTTTTTTTTTTTTTTCTAACTTCTTGTTGTGGAGATAATACCTCTATACAGGGGTTTACATTAGGTTTTTTATATGGAGCTCTTCAAGATCTCTGTTTGATTAATGTATTACTGTAAATTACAGAAGTTAGCTTGAATTTTCGCCACATTTTATAAGTGAGTGAATCATATGTACGTAGTATTTATGTCTTGCTGTACTCTAAGCATCTAAAAGCTCTCAAAGAGATCTTGTGGATGAATAATGTGAAGTTTATGCTGCTAAATTTCCTGGTCAGTGTTGGGAAGAGAGCAGGACTTGTTTGTTGCTTTATGAGTAGGCAGGAATTCCTGGCGCAACTATAGCTAATACGATTATTTTTTACTCACCATGGTTATGACTAGATTATGATACCTTGGGAAAAAGAGTAGGTTACGAGGGAATTTTGTTTTACTTGTGGATCATATACATATGGTAGTAGCTAGCCCTGCATTTGGAGGTCTTCGTTGAGTATTAAATTTTGCTGAATTTCTGTTTTACTTGTGTATTAAATTTTGCTGAATTTCTTTGACCTCTGAGCTCTGTATTCTGAAATATAATATTGGTGTTTTGGATCCAAGGAAAACGGTATGTTCACTTTTCTATGTTTTGGAATTGGTGGTGCAACTTTGCATGATAGAGAAATATTTCTGTAATCGTGTTGGCTTAGAAGTCGGAAATTATGATGATTGAGGTTGTTATTGAGACTTGAGAAGAAGCCAAATTATTGTATACAGAACTGAAAAAAAAATAAATTATTAATTAAACTGCTTAATTAAGATGCCCCACGTCATGTTGATTATTACCTTTAGCAAATAGCAAGACCTTTATTATATTACTATATGTTGGCTCCTAAAAACCCTTGGTTCAATGAGCATTTTCTCAACTTATCCATCACCCATCCTTAACCATTGCAGAATGTGTACGATAGGGTTTTTCTTTCATTATCTACCGATGCTTCCATTGCAAAGACGATATAGACTTGTGCTTGAAGAAGTCTGTAACATTGACTTGTTGACACTTAACATGAGCTGCAGAAGTGTAACTATGTAATAGACAACACTCTATATGTTAGACCTTTTTGGCCACTTCTTAGGATGTGAGCAACCAGAAGGAAAAAGATGGAATGTAGGATAAAGTGAGGAAGAATTACTTCATATTTCTAATTTTATGGATTTTGAAATTATGTGATTAACAACCTGTGCTTTTTTTGGGTTTCATGCTGTATTGTACTTAAAAAACTTTATTGTACAAAGTTGTTTAGAACAAAGAGATTTGACATTGAAAGCATTTTTCTTTGTTTTCCAGAAATCAAATGATGTTTCTGGATGGTGAAATTCTATGGGAATACTTTTTAGCGGGACAGTCTGGATAAGTTACAACTTCTCCACTGCTTGGAATCTCGGCCACCACTTGTCAGTTGTTACAGACATTAGCCACTGCATTTGGGGGCATCCGGAATATTTTAGCTGCGTAGTTTAGAAGATGCTCTTAGCTACTAATTAAGTGGCTTGAGTGGTAAGAAGGTGGTGCACTGCTGAACTGCTGATTTTATAGAATGAGCTTCTGAAATTTCAACTTCTGTTAATTTTTCAAATCTGAAATGCCCTCGTAGGTTCTATGGTTTTGATAGAGATTGTCATCAACTAATGTCATACTCTGGTAGTTTCAGCTATATACGGAGTATGTTTCTAAATCAATTGGCTTCTTGGTTGGCTCGTGTTTTTGAACACTTTTGAAGTTTTGAGGTGGGTGTAGGGGAGGATAGTATGTAATTTTTATGTTTTAGTATGTTCGGAAATTTGGTCATGTAGAATGAGTTCTATTCAACAAAAAACCATCTCAATACATAAGTTATATTTGGTTGTGGTATTGTCGATGAGAATCAAGCCTAGCCCCACTGTTTGAAGTTGCGGAATCACTAACTCGGTACATCGCTTGGTCTCCCCAACCTCCGAGACCCTTAAAATATGTTTTATTTGCAATGGTTTGGATTGATTGTGTTGTTGTTAAGGATTATCTTGGAAACTACATATCAAGTCGCTATTTCAACATAATTCCACCTCTTCGTTAATTGCAAACGCCATGGTTATTCACTTATTCATAACGGTTTTCTTTTAGGCGATGTAAATAACAATTCTCTCGTCTTCATTGAAGGTGAATACTTATCACTAATATACAAAGTACTACCAAGTATGTATTTTGTATTGTCAAGTTTAATGTTCGTCAGTTGAAGATTCATTTACAGTACTTATGAATGATGTCAAAACAACTTTAGGTCACTATACGCAAATTCAATCCTCTATGGTACTATTAGAGTTCTCTCTCTCTCTCTCTCTCTTTTTTTTATTTTTTATTTTTTTTTATTTTTTATTTTTTTTTATATTTTATATCTAATAAATGTTTTTAATAGCATTTTTTTGATAATTTAAGTTACACAATTCTTATGTGGCTTGCCGGAGCAAAATCATAGGATACTCAAGTACCTACTAGCCTACAATATATCAAAAGCAGACTTTAACTTAAAAAAAAAACAGCTAGCAGCATAAAGATAAAAAGTACTCATATTCCCAAATCTCAGCCTAATTCAGAAATCCTATCATTTTAAAATCATATGCTCTGCCTTTAACTTTATAAAATCAATCTTTCATAAAAAATAAATCTTTAAAAAATCAATTTGTTGTCCAAAAAAAAAAAAAAAATCACTCCGTATTATTTTTATTTATCTTAATTCCAGCTGCTACCCTTCTCCTTAGTTTCGGCAAATTGCACAATTTGTCAAGCATCACACATTCACATTATTCACACACATATAATCATATATATATTCACACCAAAATTGTGTGCCCTATTTCATTTTGGCCCCTCTGCCCCTTATTGTCTTCATTTTTGGCCCCTTTTTTCTGCTTTTTCTTCAAGATTTCAAGGGTTTTACAAGAAAAGAGTGTGAAAGGGGGATAAGAAAAAATCCCAAAAAAAAGATTTTTATTTTTTAATATTTATAACTAATTAATTTTTCTATAAATTGACTGATGGCTGGAGAGGGTATAGTTATTTCTTCTGGTACAGATTTACCAGTGAAGAGACCTAGAGAAGAAGAAGAAAACATGAGTGAGAAAATTGTTAATGGAGCTTCTTCTGTTTCAATGGAGGCTGAAGATGATAAAAAACCCAATTCTATTTCTTCAATTATTCCTGGGTGGTTTTCTGAGATTAGCCCAATGTGGCCTGGTTTGTTTCTTTTATCTAAATCTTCATTTTTTTAATTTTGATTTTTTGATTTTTTTTTTTTTTTTTTTTTTTTTTTTTGGCATTTGATTATCTGATTAGATGCTAATTTTTGTTGGGTTTTAGATTTAATATTTGATTCGTTGTTGTAATAGTGAAAAAAATTCTGGGTTTTGTATATTTTGTTTTAATAATTTAATTACAAAAGTTTCTGGGTTTTGCATGTGTTCTTGTAATTGTAAGCTTTTCTGGGTTTTTGATGGGTTTTAAGTAGTTTTTAATTTGTAAATCTTTCTGGGTTTTTGATGTTATAGTTTCTAAGTGTTTGTTTAACAAAAAACTTTTTTTGGGTGTTTTTTGCGCTATACATGTGATATGTTTTTGCTAATATTAGTTAATTGTTCTAGGGTTTTGGGCAATTTTTTAAATTAAATTGGATATCCACTGTTAGCAATCATTGTACCATGTGTGATGGTGCTCTGGATGAAGTTGCCATGATAGTAAGCTACATTGATTGTGCTAATTATATTGTCAATCATATCATATGTTTAAAGCACATATACTAATAATTGCACCTTTTTTTTTGAAAGGTGCTTTATTTTTTACTATAAGTATTGATAACTAGTAATTCCTGCAACCTGGCAAGTTGCTGTTGTTGGATTGACTGTGCTTACTTTCATGGTCTGGTATTGTTTGGCTGGTATTTGATTCAAGAAATGCCGTTTCGTTGTGTTTGAGTTCGAATACGGTATTGCTGTCAGTTACTTCGCCATTATTTAAGTTCTGTTAGTCAATTGCTTCAATTGCATAGTGTTCTGGTTGTGTTTGATGTGCGTAATTTCTTTGATGCTTAATATATGAGTATGTGCTTTGATTATATTGGTGGCTGTGTTTTAGTCATTTGTTAAAATGTCATTTTTTATTAAATGGTACTTTGACCTTAGGAATATGATATGAGCTTCTAGTTGTCGACTTGTCGTAAACTTGATCCAAAATAACATTAGTAGCAAGTAGCAACAATATGATACGTATAGATGTACTGGTCTAGATAGCTAAAATGTTGCTTTGTTAATTGTGTTTGAAGTAATTGTTGAGTGTTGGAAGGAAAATGTGGTTTGAAAGCTTGTTGACGCTTACTGTTATAAGGAATTGAACAAATGGAACAAAATTATATCAGCCGAGTCCTTTAAAATATATTTGTTTTCAAATAATTCTCAAGCCAAATCAAATAGTTGGTTTCAGTAGAGTCATTGTTTGTGAAAAATTGACTCCAATTAGTAATGCTGTTTTGTGCTCATCCTTTCCTGATTTCCTACACATTGCTGATGATGAACCCTTAAATCTGAAATAGGTGAAGCACATTCTTTGAAAGTGGAGAAAATTCTGTTTCAGGAAAAGTCAAAGTATCAGGATGTCATAGTCTTTCAGGTATTCTAACTTTCTAAGTATATGACCTAATATAAATACTTAGTTTATTGAATTTTCAAGTTATTTTTTGATTAACTTAATTGTGTCTTTGTTATAGTCATCAACCTATGGGAAAGTTCTTGTATTAGATGGAGTAATTCAGCTCACTGAGAGGGATGAGTGTGCTTACCAAGAGATGATCAGTCATCTCCCACTCTGCTCTATTTCCAATCCCAAAAAGGTTTATTTCTTTCTCTACCTCTGTCCTGATTCCTGAAGAAGAAACAATAATTGTGTTCATCTTCATTGTTTTCCAATTCATTTTCCTATTATCTAATTGGTGGATCTTATCTCCCATCAAGATATCGATGGTTATGAACCCAATAGAAAAAAAAACATTTTTTTTTTGTTATATGTAAGTTTTATTGGCATATAATAAGGCAAATCGAAAGCATATTCTTCGGAGCTTTAAGCTCATTTGGATTTGTTTGGTGTCTGAAAAAGCCTTTCAGTTCTTCTTTTCCCTGTATTCCACATGCCTTTTTCTATGGGGGAACAATTTGACGAGTTGTTTTAAATCTCTAGGTAATTATGGGGGCTTATTAATGCCTAAGTTTCCTCTGTTTTCATCTTTCTTTGTATGCATGGGTGTCAATGTTCTTGAGTAGAATTGTTGGAACCTGGATATGCTGAAAACAAGGATTTCCTTGTCTTGTGACGATCAATGTCTTCTTCCTTTATATTTAATTATTAAGACTAAAACCTATTGACACAAAGTCAGTGGCCATGGCATGATTTCATGTTGTTGCTTGTAACAGATTTAATTTGTTAGTTTGTTTAATTTTCAATGTTTTAATCTAGAGGCTACCTTATGGCTTGCCAGTTTTCCTGTGTGGAGGGATCTTGTTGAGGCTAACATGTTTTCCCTTCTTGGTGAAAGCCTAATATACTGATTCTGTGTTTATCTCGTAGGTTCTGGTCATTGGAGGAGGAGATGGAGGCGTCTTGCGAGAAGTAGCTCGCCATTCATCAGTTGAGCTTATAGATATTTGTGAAATTGATGAGATGGTAGTAACGGTGAGCAGTTGAGGGTGATTTGTTGTTTCCTTGTTTTTTCTTAACAATGAAGATAAAATTCAATCCCTTGGAATTTAAAAAGTTATTCAACTTGATCTCTATATCCTCATCCATGTTTGTTATTATGGTATTACTCCTTGGAAATGGAGGCATCATAATAAAGTGTATACTCAATTATGGCTTCTGTTGGTCCTATTATAGCTTGACTCAGTTTCCGCTTAGATTGACTTTTTTGAAATTCCAGGTTTCTAAGCAGTTTTTCCCTGAGGTAGCTGTTGGATATGATGATCCTCGAGTAAAATTGCATATTGGTGATGGTATGGCTCTTCAATCCTTTCCTTCTCATCCAAATTGTTTTACTGTTAACTCCTTTTTGCATATTCTTTATGTGGTTCTGTGGGTGTGTGTGGTGTGTGTTAGGGGGTATCTCTGTCAAGATTTATCTTTTCTTTCTCATTGTATCTTTTATCCTTGCGCTCCAATGGTATTGACTAATGAGAAATGACTTTTAGGAGTTGCATTTTTGAAGGCGGCTGCGGAGGGGACTTATGATGCAGTCATCGTGGATTCATCTGATCCGATAGGTTTCCTCTTTAAGCTCTTTCTCTGTTCCAGATTTCCACTATATTAGATGTGGTTTAGTGTCTTTCATTTTAATACTTAATTCTTGCTTCGGACGTTGACCAGGTCCAGCACAAGAGCTCTTTGAGAAGCCCTTTTTTGAGTCAGTCGCAAAGGCACTGCGACCCGGAGGGGTTGTGTGCACCCAGGCCGAAAGTATATGGCTTCACATGCATATTATTGAAGATATTGTCTCAAACTGCCGTCAGATTTTCAAGGGCTCCGTGAACTATGCATGGACTACTGTTCCTACATATCCTAGGCATGTTCTCTCACCCTTGTTTCTCTTTTTCCCCTTGCACCCCTAAACATACACAAAGTAATTAAGGGAATGTTTGGTAGGCTAGTTTACTCGAATGAAACATGTGACACCATACTTCTGTTTTCCTCCAGTTATGTACTCATACATTGTTTACCAGCATTTGTTATTGAATCTTAACATATATATTAAATTTCAGTGGGGTGATTGGCTTCATGCTTTGTTCTACTGAGGGGCCAGAAGTTGATTTTAAGCATCCAGTGAACCCTATTGATAAAGTTGAAGATCATGGAAAGACAGAGAGACCTTTGAAATTTTACAACTCAGAGGTAGATTTACTCTTTTTGTTCTTTTGTCCTACCATTGGTCTTTTATCCACCATCAAGATCTTACTTTTCTTGTTTGTTTGCAGCTTCATTCGGCCGCTTTCTGCTTGCCCTCTTTTGCAAAGAGAGTTATTGAGGCAAAATCCAAGTAATCTTGGTCTGCTATGGATACCGTGTTTCCATTAAAAGGAAAATTTCATATGGGCTCAAGCAGAGAATAAAGATTTATTTTTCTCTTTCTGTTTTTTTTTTCCCGACATTTCAAGCAGACAAGCTTTCTAGTCATTAGGGATGTCATAACAGTATTTGTTGAAATTTCTTTCCCCTTTAACAAAACTGAGAGAAATCATGATAACAAATTTGTTAGCTTGTTTCACCTGTAGTTTTATAATGATAAAGGAAGGGTGTCATGACTCATGAGGATTTAATCAGCAATATTGTCTCGAGTTTGGAGAAGAGTATCTGAATTCTATGCCTGTTTTATTGCTGCTTGCACAAGTATTCAGTTGTGCTGTAGTTGGATACATGCTGCGTCAATATAGCAACTATATGGAGGGTAATTCCTCAATTTCATCATCAGCAGTATTGGCATCTGCTCATGATGTCTCTAGCTCGTCACCCGAAGCCATAATTGTAGCTAGCATAGCTGCTTCAGAGGATGATGTTAGTCAAAGTGTAGATTTAACCGATAAGTGATTTTTTTTTTATTTCTTTTTAAAGAAATTATCCATTTCAGGAATTAAGTTTATGAGTTTGGGGATTTAAAGATCACAATTTTATCAATTTGAGACTGAATTAGGGTTTATACGATTGGGTGATTTGGGTCTTTAAATTTTAAATTTGGTTTACTGAATTTGTAAATTAATGGGGTTTATATATTTGGTGAATTAGAGTGTCCAAACTTTTTTTTATTTTTTAGGTTAGTATAAAAAATTAGTTTTGAAGTTAGTAATTTCGAAAGTAATGCCTTGATTTCCTCGAAAAAAATAGTAACTCTTTAATCGATAATATTAGTTTTGATAAAATAATTCGTTGAACTATGTTCTTCAATATATTGCACTAAAAAGGATGCAAAGATACTATCAATTGTAAAAAAATACGAATACGAAGTATGTATATTCAAAATTCACGAGGTTAAAGCAGGAAATTTACTCATTTTTATCTCAGCCTTGTGCTGCTGATAAAATATATACACTAAGAATATCAAACCACTATTGTCAAGCTGAAACTAATTTGACATTGTCTATACACATTTTTAAGTAAGAAGAACTACTTTGAGGTCATGGTTCCATGTTGTTTCTGGTTTTAACGGCATAGCAACAAACAACGCAACCATCTGAAACAACGGAAAAACATTCCATCATCAAAACAAATATAACAAAATGAAAAAAGCAATACGAGAACAAGAGGGTGATTGGAGAGGGATTTACCATTACGAAGGCTGCACAAATCAGGCTGAAACCTTTACAATCAAACGGTGCTTTGTTTGATAGGAACCACTCTGCATGTCCAAAATATTAATCAGTATTTAACAATGATTTAGTTGTTGAATTAATTTGACTTGATATGATATTGTGTAAAACTTACGAGTTAATGGTGTCATAATAAGTGGTGATACGAAACCTGCTATTGAATCTACTGCAGCAAGAAAACCTTGTGCTCTTCCCTGCAGATTCAGAGATATCCTTAAAGCAGTTGGTCAAGAAAAACCGAGGTTAGTAGTGAATTGTTAAAATCCATAGTACTGACCTGATCATTTGAACTTGATGCTCTTGAAATAATAGCACATATCTGAAGATCAAGGAACCAACATACATAAGACAGAATTCACAAATATCGATGTTAGTGAAGCACAAGTAATACTTCTATATACAGACAGCACACATGAAAAAGCAGTAGCTTACTGAAGGTTTGACAAATCCATATGCCAATCCAAGTGAAACACTAATGTATGGAAGCTGCAGAACAACCAAAATATTACAAAATTTTATTGAGTCTGATATGAATTATAAAGTCACACAACTATAAGAAAAATTAGTTAATTGTTTCCAATGTTACACACCCAAGTTGCCCATGCCATGCTGTAGAAAAATGCCTGTAAATCAAATTCACAAACATACTAAGATCATAACATTGTTTGAAAGATGTGATAGTAACAAACAAATTAAAGCAAATATATGATGGGAACCAGAGTATTGGAAACTTACATATGTCACGGATGCCAGTAATCCCATGGAAAGTATCGCCTTTTCCCCAGTCAGTGTATTAATTACGGGCACTATCAACATCTGAAGCCAAAAGCAAAAAAAACACAGGATATCAGCAAAGTATTTTAGATGCTAATCAGTGGACATGGAAATACTCTGTAATAGGTTACACTAGGGGATAAATTAGTGTAGTGCTTCACTCATTTTCTACATATTCTATGTATCAGATACTTTATACTAGTACTTAGCTTCTAGTTCTATTAAGTATTTTCAATCACAAATTTCACGTCTTTTCCCCATTCTAAAATCCATGCATTGTATTATGTATTGCAGAATGATCTTTATTCATCAGGGAATCTACAAACATTCCAAAAACAACTGCACAATTCTGGTCAAAGCAATTTGTACAAATTTCTTCACTTAACAAGGATGAATCCCAATTAATGAATATAAATAACGAAAAGGCAACTGAAGTTATAATACAAGGAAAAGCTTTAGTACCTGTGAGCAAACTGATCCGACTTGGACAATCATCAACGTTTCTGAAACTTTACTTCCATTTAATTTCAATGCATCCTTCATATAAAACTGCAAAGGAGGTTATCTACATGTCAAATTATTTCCCCATAATAACTCTTAAACAATAAGATAGAACATGATAAACTGCTTGGATAAAGAAAAAAAAGGCAATGTTTAATGCTCCGGCAAAGCAAAACCAGTCCATGCGCAATTTAAACAAAACTTGTAATTTCTGATTGGAAGTTTGTATAGGCTGTAGCGTTTCTTAAAGTAAGTAGTTATATTTCATATTAACGAATTACATTCATTCCAAATCAAGCAGCTAAACAAGAAGCCTGCAGCATTTACCGAGACTGCTTATAGCCTAATAGTAGGGAAAAACTCAATTTTGTGCAATATCTAATATACTATCTGTACATTCAAGGTCAATTAGTGGCTCTTCAAGTGGAAGGGAACAGATCATTGATTTTGTGCAAATTATTTTGAGCTGTATAAACAATGATAGCCAGGATTACGAAACATCACTTTTATAACTTATAAATGCTAAAACACCATAGTTTTACCAATATGAAAAGGACCTTTTCTACCGAAGAAACATAGTAACATACCAATAAGACACTACTGATGCCAGACATGCCGAACTCATAAAAGAAGGAAACCAGATAAATGCCCCTGAGATTAGGTCTGAAACAAAAGAATTTCATCAGGATGAAATATTAATAAGATCCTCGTTGTAAAATATTAAGGGGTAGTGAAATGCTGAATAACCTTCTTTACCCAACAAACAATAAGAACATACTTGGTAAAAATTACAGCAGCAGCACATTTAATAGAACTGTAACGCTCTCTGATGGACTTAAAAAAGATGGACCAGAGTGATTGCTTTGTCATAGGTGCCCGCCTAGCAGTCTCAGCCACGAATAGTTGAATAAAGAGTGGAGACATGATCAAGAGAGGAATTGACAGCTGAAATTAATGTAACCCTATCAGTAAGAGAAACGCTAACAACCAAGATAACTCACAGTAAACAGCAACATCTTAAGAGGTAAAAACATGCCTCAAATATGTACTTTCCCGGAATAAACTTTGCTAGCAAACTCCCCAAGACATATGAAGCAGACATTACACCTGTGATCCAACTGAATGCTGCAACTTTTTTGTCATCCTCAACTACATCTGCCTATCAGAGAGTAACTTTTATTCTTAGTCATTTCCATTTACAAATTCCAAATGACAACTTGAGTAATATCTTACCGCATAGGCAATAGCAATGCAGAATACACTCCGGAGACTTAGAATGTAGGAAAGACAACGAAGAGCGAAGTATGCATATATGAATGCCCTGGACTTGTTAATGGCAAGAAGAACTGAATGGAAAAAAAAACCAGGAAAGATGTTGAGCAACACAAATCATCAAGGAAAACAGGTCATAAAGTTGTACATAAGAGACACTGATTTGCAATTTAAGGAAGCTGGTAAAGGGTGCAACTACTACAAGTCTTTTACCACTGAAAAAGAGAACACACTACAGGAATGGAGGCACCCTATATATGTACCGATGATGTATATCTATTTCAGAGTGCAATTGACCAAAAACAGAGTTATACAAAACAATTCATTATCTTTCAAGCTTATAGAAGTTCCAACAAAGGGAAATAAGAGATAGGTAGAGTGGGATGCTGATCAAATTACATACCTATAGGGAATATGGAAGTAGACATAGTCAAAAGGAGAAGTGGTTTCCTTCCATACTCATCCGAAAGTTCACACAATATTGGAAGTACAGGAATCATTAGAAGCCCAGCTAACTGCAAAATGAAATGCTATGTCAAAACATAGAAATTATTCCATTCCGAAACTGCTTAAAGAACAACTGAAACGTTGCAAAACCATCCACTTGATATACACCACATGTAGAATCTTATAAGATGACAAACACACCAATACTTATAACCGATACAAAATATGGATCATCCTAAGAAAACTTCCATGCTAGCCTAGGCAGAAATATTCACAGAATCAGAATATAAAACCTATCTTAAACATGATTTTTGTGCTCATAAACCTGAATTGCCTGATTTCCAAAAGAATCTGTTACCTTCTAGTCCTCTACCAATTTAGCTAAGCTAAACTGTTCTTTAAGTGATGCTACATGTCATATGCGAATATATAGCAAAAATAAGATGCATTAATCTCCTCATTGCGATCATCAGGCATCTAAAAGATAGATATTAACCATTATGAAGAAAAGTCGTAACATATGTAGGTCAGATCAACAACCCCGACATCCCTTAAAATGAACAAGAGAAGAATAGTCAACAAACAAAGATCAGCATGATAAAAGAGGAAAACAATGAGATAGGATTACAGTTTTTTGAAGACTATTCAGGTAAAGCGCGTAAGAACAGATAGACTCTCCAGGACACAAAACGTGACTGATCACTTCCATCAGAAATGGACTAGACATTTCATGAGCAATGCCATGAACAAACAGCGGCACCAACAAATGTAATAAAAGCTTTATATTTCGGAACATTATTAAATCTCTCATGCCTTGCAAACTCTCCATCAATTTACTTTCCATTATATCTCCTTGCTTGCAGAAAACTCAGATTGTACAATATCTATTATTCCTTATGCAATGCGGAGAAGAGGATTCGAGTTGGCAACAAACATACAGATATAGAAGCATCATCCAGGTTTCTTATTCTGATGAATTCAAACATAGATAAAATAGTATACCACCTACAGAAATGTTCATGTCTTGAAATAATCAAGTGAGTTGACATAGGAATTGTTTCCTAAATATTTTACTATAAATTGAATATTAAATATCTTAAAAAGCCTAAACAGTCTTAAAGACAAACAAATTTGGAAATGACTTCTAAATTTATTTATTTTCATATGATGTTACTTTATAATTTAAATTGTTTTCCTTCAGCCAGAATTTTTATAGATAATGTTGCATATATCTTGACCTCCCCGAACACCCTGTAAGTAAACAACAAGATCAGCAACAAAAGACGGTATAGTTGTCTGCGTCGTCTTGATGTTTAATGCTCACACACATATGAATGGTAAAACAATTACCAAGTCACATAACATAATTATTTGCATTTTTCACAAAATCAATATGAAAATAATAATATCATTTTCATTTGCTCATTTTTATATATTTCTCAGTCCCCGTCAAAATGCAGGATACCAGACTTGTTTAAATTTCATTCACTCCATTAATATAATTTACAATTAAGTGCACAATAAATTATGAAATGTATTACTACAATAAAGAACATTCTAATGCCAAAGACAACAAAAATAACTAGTGCCTCTATCGGCTAGCCAAGTAGCTCTTGTACACAACGGGTGTATCGTACGAGTAGGCTTAGTCAACCATTACACACAGAAAAAAAACAGACTTTTTATGTGATTAGAGTTGTTTAAACTTGTTTTGTTTTATACAAGAGTGTTGGCATACAAGATCCTTATGTCTTGTGTACCACTCAACTAAGTTAATTGACATCTATATCGTCGGCATTAACAATATTATACACCATGCAACAAATTTAAAAAGAGACAAAGAAAGCGTAAACAAGCCTGTTTAGTGTTTACTTGCCAGAGACAAATGAATCCTACTAATTAGACATAACATGTCCTGATGAGGCGAATTAAGTAACTAATTCTCTTCAAAACCAATAAATTCATAAACAAATAAATAAATCAGGAAAATTCGCATCAATTTTTAGGAATATGCTATTATGCATTAAAATTAACCAAACCCAGAACACAAACGGAAGAATTGAGCCTCGAAGACGTGGCTTCTACTACATATTCAACCACCATATAATACCCAAAAATTATAAATGGAACTAAAAATGGAAATATTAAACATACATAGGCATTAATAGCTCCCATACACGTAATTTCTTACATGCATTCTTACATTCTTTCATTAATATTACTACCCGAGTATCATTTTATTATTCCCTTCGTCCCATAATATAGTGCTTATTTCATGGTTAGCTTTTAAAAACTTTAAAATTCTACATACCATTTCTTTTTTTTTTTTTTTTGAAACCATTCTACGTAGCATTTCTTGTTTGAAATAAGGATTCAATTGGGGCAGAGAGTGTAACTAAATTACATTTTGCGGTGGACAAAAACAAAACTTTGGACATCGCATATAATGCAAACGAAAAGTATTTAAAAAACAAAAAACGTGGGATTAAACCATTAATATACTATTGAGTAAACAATTTTTTTCAAATAATCACTTTGTAGTGTCTAAATTATACTCTGTAATGTCTGAATTGAATATTGTTTACAATCATAAAATAACAAAATCAACATGGGATGGGATAAATAAAGCTAGTTTCTTAGCACCATTTCTACGAGCTTCTTCAATTTCAGCAACATCTTCAGCTAGCTTAGCAGGCACATATAACTTAAATGATAAACCAAGAGTACAAATTAATGAATTTCTAAAGGGATATGACTTTCTTAACACAATATATACAATGCCAACAGAAATTCTAACTTATCATGCTTAGTAAATGCTCCAAACCATTCAAATAATCAAATTTGCGTAAGTTAGGACGGAAGGGCTGCATTACTACCCTTCTCTCATATCTGATATCTCCAACCAATGTTTCACATCTTCTATACCGAAATCCTTAGACTCGTCCTCTGAACCAGACTCATTCTTGGATCAATCTCGTCATCTGAATCAGAATCAGACTCGTCCTCTGAATCAGAAACTTTACAGTTACGACACTTCCATGTTACCTGCAAAACCCCATCAAACAAATATCCCTAAAAATTATTTTAAACTTCAAAAATAAATTGTTAGCTAGTCTATTTACAATTTACATACATACATGACAGAAACACAAGGAAAAAAGATAATAATATAAAAAAAAGAAAAAAAAAAAAGAAAAAAAAAAGCAAAAACCCATATTAATAGGTAGAAAATAAAAGTTGATTGATAAGAGTATAAGACAAGGGTTGTGGTTGCAAATGTCAATATTATTTAGAAAAAAAACGGTTAAGAGAAGGAGAAAGCAAGACACTGGACAAATCAATTTAATAAGAGAAACTACAGAAGGTCAAAACTAGAAGTGCAACTACTAGAAAAAGCTCATCACCTGTAGCTTAAATTCTTCCAATGAAGGACAGCCTCTGCGTGCAATGCACATCATCTGGAGAGGATTTCCATGCTTCTCAAACAAGATTCGCAAGTCCAAGTATCTGACATTAGGAATGGAAGGAAGGATAGATAATTCAAATTAGTATTAACCAAACAGTATGATAATGTTGGATGTTGCAGACTATGTACAAACTATGTTCATCTCAAGGGAAAGCTTAGACAGTTGTGCAGGGAAGCATTTGATTTGCATCGTTTTTGTATTCAAGCTATATATCCCCATGAAAGCGCATCAAGAAAAATGCTTTCAACAAGTGATGGAACGCTAGCATATACCACATTTTCCATTCCGTTCATACTTGTTAATTCAAAAGACTGAAGATTCAAGGCATGTATCTCAGCTTCCTTCAACCAAAAGCAATAGTGCAAACTGCAAAGCCAAACACTTCCAACTTTCCAGACAATTAAGTTTATGATCTTCGCATTTGATAAGTTGACCACTAGGCGAAAGTAGTTCTAGTACCACTGTTGATATTCCAACTTCCTTTATACATATGGATGGCAGGTAGCTAAACCCATTCTCACATGGAGAAGTTGTAAACCCTTGAAAAAAAAATAGATGACAAACAAAAATGAAGTTATATGTGTTTTAAAACATGTGCTAGAGACCGTAAAAAGTTAAATGGGACAAAAAAAAAAAAAAAGGACAGAGAGAGTTGCTTGTTTTGTTAATATAACTATAATCATTATATTGGTTCTAAAATTCAGAACAAATTATAGACCTCCAATTGTCCAATTGCTACGCAAATTACATGTTAATTATCCTTATATCTTAACTTAAAGCAATGAAGTGCCAAAGATACACTTTAGGGTAATTAATCTAGAACATCAAACTGTTTCTTTGAAAATTACTTGTTTCAAACAGTACAAACATCACCATCTTTCACAGCTTGGCCTACATCCTCATCATCAAACTTCTTCAACATCGCTTGCGCCTTACAATCATAGAAATACAATACCATAGTAACCCACTTCACCAAACTACCCAAGCAAACCAATACAACAACAATTGCAGTCACTGCAACTCTAACAGTCACAAAGCTACACATTCTGGCAAGCAGAATGGGCAGCCTCAGAGCAACAATATATACAAAGAATATAAGCATTAACTGGAACCCGGTTCGCTTGCAGTGCTTTCGATAGTAAGCTGATATCTCTAGTGCATCGAGCCCGGTTTCTCCCTCTAACACAGATATCACTATGGCCATGTTCCACAAAGCACTCCAATCAAGATACTTGTACAGCAGAGCCAAAGAAATAAGTGTATGAAACAATATTGACAGTATGTTTACATAAACATTATTCGGTAAGACAGATTCATATCTGTAATTCCAAAAGGAATAGTCGAATCTAGCTGTAATCATAGAGTGATTTGCTACTGCCCAAATTAGACCAAAAAGATTAGAAGCTGAAAATAACTGAACCCAAAGAGAGGTAATAAAAGGACCTTTGAAGTTGTTTTTCTGGTATAAAGTTTCCTTCAAATTAGTTGATTTCATATTTCCTGCATCTACAACTTTTGCAGAAATATTTATGACTATGGTCAAGCTAAAGAGCTCAAGCAGAGGAAGAAGAATCAAATATAAGGGTACGAGCTCGAAAACAATACGAAATGTTTCCCTTTTTGAATCATTTTTATCAGTGGTGCTGAAAAGGCTAATGTTTTCATCACTATCAAAGCCGATATCATAGGACATGGAAGTTGGTACTAGGAATCTTAATATAGCATCAGTTGCTTCAGAAATCTGAATCTCATAGAAAACTATGAAAGCAAAGAAAGGTAAAATAGATAGAATCACGAAGGACAAAAATTTAGTGTTACTTGTAAAGTTTTTGACAGCAGAGTTCAGAATCTCAAAGGACTTCAGCTGCTTGACATTCGGAAACTTCAATCTGTGCCTTTCATTACGAAGCTCGAGTTGTTGTTTTTCTTCTCCTTCCTCCTGGGGTTGTAGTAAAGCTTGATCGAATCGGGGATCCATGGATGCTTCTTTAGAACTTAAAAATTTTTAGTCTTCAACACACACTAGTTCCTCAGGAAATTAAGGAACTACATCTTAATAAAGTATTATTGTGTCAGCAAGTTGATCTAAAACTAATTTGTGGGCTGTTGACTTCGAAAAAACAGAAGTCAGAAGTCGTCCACTATACTATGGAAAAATCAAATTAAAGTTATAATAAGAAATAGTTCTAGAAAAAAGATATGTATCACTTTACAAGAAATGTCTTTTTTATAGCAGTCAAAATTGCATTTAATCGCGGTTTCACAATAATAATCTGTAACAATATAAGTTATGTAACAAATATTTATTTCGATTTGAAAATTAAAGCATATCAGCAGCATTTACAGATTTATCTAGCTTATTATGATCATCAACCTTCTTTCCCATAATTTGCTGCTTGCAATAATAAAAATACAGCAAAAATGCAACCCACTTCACTAAATTCCCCACTTAAACCAACATTATAACTATACAAGTGATCCAAACATCAGCAAGTTTTTCATCATATGATCTGGCATACAAACAGAGAAGCCTCAGGACATGACTAAACACAAAAAATTCGAGCATCAATTGGAACCCGATTTTCTTGCAATGCTTGCCATAGTAATCTGACATTCCAAATGCCACGATCCCAGTTTGTTCTTCCATGACCGAAATCACTATACTCATGTTCCAAAATGCGCTCCAGTCTAAGTACTTGTAGAGCAAACCAAAGAATATCACTGAATGAATTATTATAGACAGTATATGTAAGTTCAACCTTGAGTTTATAAAATCGAAATAATTGGAACTGCTTAACACGAGAAACTGATTCGAAAAAAAGTTTTCACAACATACTACTCAAAACATTTAAAAAAGTTTTCACAACATACTAAAACACTTTATTTTTACTACTTAAAGTGAGCGTTAAGACTTAAGAGTTAGAGAGGAGATTAGAACAGCACCACAATTATAACATATCTTTTGTAAATCATATCGAATCTCTATAAGAATATGATCTCTATGTAAGTTCAATTATTGAATAATAAAATGCATTTGCTAGTATGACCAACTGATTTGTGTTGCTTATTTTAACACTCTTACTTCAATTCTTTAATGATGGATCATGAACCTTAAAGAGATGTAGTGAAAAAATGTACCATTCCTTTATGAGAAAAATACAGTCACGTTGTATCTTGTTTGAATCATCTCGATACATATTTAAATTAAAAATATTAGTGTTTCTTTATTTTTAATAACAAAATTAAAGACATTGTTAGTAAGAAAAAATAAAATAAAAATTGTGCATTGAAATCAGGCAGAATATAAATGGGACATTTACATTGGGGGGGGGGGGGGTGTGGAGGGGGGTAGAGTAACTATTTGATGTTTACAATCATCGAAATATTACAAACTTGAGCAAGGGGATGAGCAAGGACATCATATATGCTGTTTCGAAATTAAACATTAGACTTGATTTTGCCATCAACTACGATTTCCATGTCTTTTCCATCCTCTTAATTTACATTCTTTTCTATTAAAGTTGTTAACAATCATAACACTTTCCAATCATGAGGTTGAAGGTTCAATTCCCACCGGTGACAATTTGGTTGGGGGGGTGAAATTCCCTTACCTTCCCCCACTCTTCCAAATTATCTAACCTGCTAACCCGGGCTGGATTGACCCATGAGGGGTTCTGGCCCGGTAGGGCCTTTCATCTTACCTACCCAAAAAAAAAAAAAAAAATTAACACTATAAAAAATTGGCTATTATCATTAGAATTTACAGTGTTCCCAACCTCTTGATCATCAACCTTCTTTTCTATAATTTGCTGTTTGCAATGATTGAAATACAGGGAAAAAAGCAACCCACTTCACCAAATTTCCCAATGAAATCATCATAATAACAATAGAAGTGATCAAAATACCAAAAACGCTTCCATCACATAATCTGGCATACAAACAAGGAAGCCACATGACATTACTAAGCACGAAAAAAAATGAGCATCAGTTGCAACCCTGTTTTTCTGCAGTGCTTGCCATAGTAATCTGACATTCCAAATGCCGCGATCCCAGTTTGTTCTTCCATAACAGAAATCACCATACCCATGTTCCCAGATGCATTCCACTCTAGGTATTTGTAAAGCAAACCAAGAAATATTACTGAATGAACTGTAGTTGACAACAAATTCAACATAATATTTAATGATTCAAAAATCCGAATTTACAACCAAATTTTCGGATTTTTCATGATTTGAGAATTTTGGGTATTTTTTATTTTGGCTAAAAAACTTGCAATTGAGTGTTCAACTTACTTGATTTCCACTATTAATTCACTTTACAAGGGTTTTCTACTCATTTGAGGTATGACTTCTCTTTCTTTGTTCTACTTCATAAATATGAAACCCTAGGTTGTGCTTCAATAGTGAACTCTCTCTTTGCTTGTTATTTTTACCTATATTTTATGTTTTGTGATAATGTTTGTTGTTCATATAAAGCTTTATTATCATGAAATTACTTGATTGTTTGAATTTTTGGTACTTCCATTGTTATTCATCATCTTCTTCCATGGGTTTGGGTAGTAGCATTTTTCCATTATTTATATGTTCTGTATTTTATATGTAACGTTCTTTTATGTACTCTATGTTCGTTTGTAATGTATAATAAATTATTATAACTACGATTTTTTATTTATTTATAAGTAATTTTCGTTTATTTATAGGTAATGTTCTTTTATTCATAGGGTGATGTTCTTCCGGGTGTACCATGCGCATGGTACACACGGGTGTACGATAAAGTCACCTTGCTAACCTTATAGCAACTGATCTTTTTTTAAAAGTACAGTAAATTTCTTCTCTAATTATTGTCAATGAGCATACATGCTTTCTTTATCCAAATTAGCGATCCACCACTAATCTATGTAGGTTGAGATACTTTAAAATCAGAAAATAAAGATTGGAATGTGGATCGAATTTCTTAATGTATGTATAACGTTGTGACGTGTTAGAAACACTGTCTTATAAGCAAAATTCGCCCCGATTATAGTGCAATTGGAGATGGCGTTGCCTCCCAAGATTTAACACAGCGATCTCCCTTAATGTGCACTCAAAAAGAGAGATTAGGAACTCACAATATGCTCAGAACAACTTTAGAGGAAAACTGAAAATAATGGAGGAAGAAGAAGAAAAGAGTTTTTTGTGTATTTCAAAAGCCACGAAAAGATCAATTTATAAGGATGAAGAAAACCGTAAGTGTTGGAGAGAATCAAGCCACAAAATAATAGTGGAGAAAAACCGAGTCAAACGCTGTTGTGGGCTTCGTAACTGAATAATCTCATAAAAGCTGGAACGTCAATTACGACTTAGCCCAAAAAGGTAGACAAACCACACCACGTGCCACGAATCGAAAGCACTGCTAGAAATAGGCCTAATTTCGACGGAATTGCTCCGTCGGACTGTAATTCCCTCGGAAAATTTGAAATTTCCGGTGAAAATTGGAGTTGTTGGAAAAATCCGTCGGAATTGTCCCCTTCCGACGGAAAAATCTGTTGGAATTGTTCTGACGGATATAAATTCTCTCGGAATTGTCCCCTTCCGAGGGAATTAATTCCGTCGGAACGTTAAAGGAAATTAAAAAAAAAAACTGGAGTTTAATTCTTGTTTTGCGACAGAAAAGAAAGAATAGAGACAGGAAGAGAGGGAAAGGGAGAAAGAGGAAGAGAGAGAAAGGGAGAAAGAGAAAGAGAGAAGGAGAAAGGGAGAAGGAGAACGCGCCTCCACCACCAGCCGCCGCTTGGACGTCGCCGTGTAGGTAAGTCTCGTATTTTTTTTTTTTTTTTTTTTTTTTTTTTTTTTTTTTTTTTGCGGAAAACCCTAACCACCACCACCACCTAGGCTTCACCGGAATTCACCATTAGCAGCGCCGATTTTCACCACAACCACTTAGGCTTCACCGGAATTCACCATAGTGGTAAGTGTTGACCTTTTTTTTTTAGCAAACTGTTTTCGGGTTTTTTATGTGTTTTTTTTTATTTTTTTTTTGGAATTGCTACTAACAGCCACGACACCAGCCGGCCGCCGGTCTGCAACCAGAACGACGCCCAGCCACCGCCGACAGCAGGTTGTCTTTCCTTTTTCTTTTTCTTTTTTTCATTATAACTTGATAGCATTTATTTATTTTTTTATATAAATAGGCAGCACAAACTTAGTTACTAAGTTTTGAATTTGAATTATTTGTAGGATTTGTAGATTTATTTGGTTCTTTGGCGATAACAACTTCAGATTTACAGGTTAGAGAGTATATAAAAGCTATAATTATAAGTTTAGTTTATACTTGGCATGTTAGTGACTAATGATATGTAGATATATGTTAGTTTATTATTGTTTTAAGTGTAGTGTATACAATTTGTTGTATTTATATTTTAATATGTTGAAATATATGAAATGAATGTGTTTGTGTACTGTTATGATATGTTAGTTTAGTTTATTTAAGTTTAGTTTTTAGTTGTTGTATTATAACATGTTAGTTTAGTTTGGTTTAGTCTAATATAATAATGTATGTTTTTTATTTTAGTTTAGTGACAGGCGGTCGCACACCTAACAAAAATAACCTAACTAATCCTCCTAACTATGTAGTAGGGTAAGTCAGGGTTGATCCCACAGAGACTATGGTTCACCTAAAATTATCTAGACTCAAGTTATTACTAAGCAAAGATCAACAATGGTGGAATAATCTGAAACTAAAGTATGGAAAACTAGAACAAATTGAACGAGTATGATAAATCAAATAACTAAAACATCCAAGATCAAGTATCACCACAATTACGATCGATGCAATTATATTTCTACCCCTAAGATACGATTCCAATCAAATGGGGACAAGTAAACCCTAATCAATACCAAGGACCTCTCTCGAGTATCAATGGCTTCCCTAACATAAAATCAAGTCTATTCTCATGGTATCATGCAAATTAGAGACATTAAACACAATACTCTAACTTCCCAATTATCAACCCAAATATTCTCATGTTGAATCTCAAACCCTAAATTGATCTACCCAATTCCGTTTAAACCCAACTCTCGTTGTGATAGAAACAATGGAATAATAACAATACTAATTATCTCTAATCTAGTATTGGCATAATCACAATCAATCTAGCATAAGCAAT